ATAAAATACAAACCATAAACTCCTGTTAAGTGTGCGTCTTAAAACACCGAAGTGAAGAAAGATTGTGTATTGTATGTAAATCAGTCACTAAATGGTAACTGACACAGTCATCAAGTCAATCCTTAGCATTGACAGATGTCTTTCGATCGACTTGTCTATTTGGCTGGTAAAATAAGTCTCACAATACTGTGATGCACTCGTTATTGTTCTTAGATGTTAGAATTCCACTCAGAAGATCCCTTACTTCGCTGAGGTTTTGGTGTTTGTTACCACTCACTCATAGATAAGCTGTACTTGTAACCTCGAGGAAGTTTACCGAATATCAATTTTGTCCACAATATCTGAGCTACAAATTTAATAACCGAAATGCTGAACGACAAAAGTTAGGATCTCTTAACTCTCTCAAGGAATCTGGTAGACCTTATTGATGAATGTCAACAATTTAGACAATCATAACTTACAGCTGATTGTCTTCAAATAAATACCTCAGTAGATTCCTGATTACCTGCATTTTTTAAAATTATTTTTCTTTAAGATTTTAGCTTCCTGCCTCAATCCAGATTGCCTCATCAGAATATTGACACGGAACGAGGACTACTCACTGATCCCTATTTTCACATGAGGTGTTGGTAGTCGAAAAAATCCACATAATATTTCTATATGAAATAAATGCTGATGAAGTCGACTAGCATGGTGATGAAACATCCAAGAATATACCTGAGCGCTTGAAGAACACCGAACAATGAGCCTGAAAAAGTATCATAGACTGTTTACATCACTCTGCAATCACCTTGAATAAAATCAACTTTTGCAGACGAAGTAACTGTGACGTGTAGAAATCGATAAGAATTATAAAATTCCCTCAACTTTTATAAAACCCTCATTGGTTAGAAACTTTTAAGCCAATCGGATAGTGGATTGTTTATCAGTAAGCAGCCAATCACTTTGTCAGCACAGTATTTTTCCATTCACTTCAAATCATTAGCAGGAGGATAAATGTAGAGATCAGAGGAGGAAATCTTTGTTGTTTGTTAAATATATGAGAAAGAAATTATCTCCTTTCTTTTTAGTCACATAATCAAAAGACCTACACACACATGTACGCATATGCATTGAACAGTAACAAAAATTCGAGCTGCAAATTGATATCCAATCAGCGTCTAAGTTTTAAAAAGCGAAAATTAAGAGGAAGTGATGTTGGATAGACGACTAAAAAGAAAATTAGCAGAAAAGTATAGTTCAGTGTGGGTGAGAGGGCGATAGAAAGAAAATATTCTTTTCGCTGATTTGCAAAACACTTAATTCAGTTAACTGAAGTTAGAATAAGCTGCTTATTGTAGTGAAGGTACAATACATCACAACCGGCTCCAGTTTATCGGTAGGTAAGATAGATCACCAATTTCAGAAAACTTTTGTCCTTTTAAATATTCATATGATCACCATAGTAGGCTATCTAGCATTTTTGTATTAATGATAGATGGTGGCTAGCAGTAGAATCCAGGACACGCGTTTCGTCCTATTTGGGACTTGTCGGCTGGATGTAACTGCATCCCAGTGACCGGTTTTGTTTCAGCTGGCATTGTTTCATTTTAGTTGACTTAAACATTACATGATGGGGCCAACGGTTCATATAGTCCCACAAATATTGTGTTAGAGGGTAATTATGCGACCAGTTACGATGCGACTTCGCTGTGTGGCTGGCAAAAGTTCTGCAGTTCTATTATCTTGTCAATTCTTCTGGTTCTAGTTCGGCTACAACGAACAACTGACTGATGAATAGATAGGTATGACTGATAATAGTCAGTTTCACAGAATTGTGGTCAAACTTTTGGTTAACTTGTCTGCCATCCTACATTCCATGATAGTTCGGTATAAGGCGGTTAAGGTACGAATGTGTCATTCTGAGGACTGAGTTATGTTTTAGATTATTTCATTTTTTGAACTAAAAAAGAACTAACGGAAACTGCTTCAATGCAATGCCAGCACTTTGTATATATATATATATTCAACCGATAGCTTAGAAAAGGGAATATAATCTTTATTTTCAGCTCAAGTGGCGAGTGTTTTAAGGGTTATATTAGCCTTCATTTTACTTAAACTAGGTTTGCCTTTAGTGTAGCTTTGTCAGATAGTTGATTAGGCATACCTTCTGTTTCTGCATACTGAAACAACTGCTAGTGCATTGAATACAAAGTAGATCATTAATTCATCGTTTTTTTCCAATCTCTTCTGTGTACATGAATTTGGCTTTCTTCAACCTTAGTTGATGAACTGATTCTAGATTGTGTCATTTCAATTAATGTAGCAAGGATGCTTTGTCAAATTAACTGTAATTTTTTGTATTTAGTTAACTTAAATTACTGAAATTTGAACATTGAGTATAATCTTGCTATTTCGTTCACCAACTTCTGTCTTCTTTTTTAACAGTCTACCCTAGAATGAGATTTTTTAAGAATGCCGAAATCTGGCATGTTGCCATGTAAGCTTTATGTAGCGTAACTGACATTATTGGTCATTATTCCTTTCAAATGGTGTGTAAAATGAGTTATTTTGAGCGTGATTTTAACCAATCTCTTCATTTATTGTATTATTTTTATTCTCGAGTACCATATTAAACCTACATTGCAATATGCTGGATATCGCCAGTGTTTTTTGGTGTATATTCTGTTAGGATTCACGAGGTGGACGTCGCATAATCTGCTTTGATTTGCTGTTTTAAAAATTTTATATTCGTCAAAGTATTGTGTTTTTGTTTAAAGTGGCAACTGTAAGAGTTTTGACGGTTCTGTTATTGAGCCAGCTCTTTCGAAAGGTGATCGGGTCGTATGGTTGCTACATGGCCCTAAGCTTGGTTGATCTATTAACTGTGTCCTAATTTTCAAGCATTTTAATTGCGTTTCCATCTCTCTTTTGCCATCGTTAAAATCTTTTACAAGTTATTTAATAGTGATGGATAGTGGCTAGCATTTCGTCCTATTTGCGCATCCTGGATTCCACTGCTAGCCACTATCCATCAATACTATAATTCAAACACAGGTAATACCGAGGCATTCGCACAGGAACCCATTTAGCAATAGAGACCGATCAGTTCGGTCCAATCAACGAAAGTCTAATACAATCAATTATTCTAAGTTATTTAATGTTTTCCACTGTTGAGGTGCTTGGCTGCTGAAAACGAAGCTCTTGGTATTGTCCTCTGAAAAGCTACTTTGTTGAAGTACTTTGTATATGTAGATATTTTCTGCCCTGTCGATGTCTTAGTTGATTTCCAATGAAACTGTGTTTGGTGTCTGCGTACTCATTTCATCCATTTCACTCACCAGTAAATACAGGAATAGCAGACGATTTTCAAATCTTGTTGCAGTTCAAAGGGTTAACATATTCTATTCGTTTAATTTTTGGTAAATAAAACGACTTCATCTGAGAATATGGAATAAAGCCATCCTAGTAATATAACTATTATTCTCCATTAAACCTTTTAGTTTGACTATTTTTGCTTTTAAAAAACAAAAATAAGAAACATAGGTTAGAGTAAAATACTTCATCCAAAGCGTGATTTTGTCCGAATGTTGTGGGTTAGTGTTTGTTTCAGTGTCTCTTTTTGATAACTGGATATCAGGCGATATTATTGACGATAAGTAGGACTGAGGATAATTAGTTCTTCAAAGACTTAGACTTCAAACCGAAAGATTCAACCTAATCGGTTCAAAATGTCTACTTGTAGGAGTCTAGTCTAACAGAGTCCTAGTGTATTGGTCATTGTGATATGTTAAAAAAGATCGACCAAGTTCTCATTGATGTCACATGTAGTATTCTTCATTTTGAGCCTATCTGTTTTGTTCTTGTCATTTCACAGTCTTTTTCTCCGAGTAAAAAATTTAAGCACTCCTTTTATTTCGTAAAATTTCCCAAAATCAGCGTTGCGCATCACTCTCATTCTTGAGTGTGTTTGTAATCTCAAAGTTACATCATCCGAAGACCTTTTAAAATCAATGGATATTTGCTACAGATTATGCTGCATTCTAAGACCATTTAGAAGTGACTAATCTGAACTCTGTATGACAGAAAGTATGCTATCAATTCACTACTGGGGCGAAATTCCGTGTTACAAAAGAGAGTTTCTGGTGTTTTCTAGGGAAGAAATCGTTTGTAAAAGATCGTGTTTTCATTTCTACGCTTTATATGAGAAATTCACTTTACACGCAATTAGGTAAAACTAGTGAAATGATGGCTTCCCTTTTACTATTAAAGGTAAGAATCTAGGCCATGCTTCCGATTATGATCTAAGGAACTGAGTGGGTCATCGTCCGTATAATAGCGCTAAATTTCAAAGTCAAACTTTTTTAAGACTGGATGAGAACTATTTAGCTTGGTGATAACGAACCAAACATTTAAGTACATCAAGTGTTTAGCAGCGGGTAACTGAAGTCGTCATCTAATCTTTCTTGCTCAGTCAAATTTTCAAAGTTCATGGCTTACCGCTGATTACCCTTAAGAGTTTAATAATAAAACTAATAAAAAAATTATGATCGACTACAACTGTCACTTGGTAGTATGAAGACACCGATTGCTCAAGTGATAACTATCAGAACTCATTACTCCAGTGGATAAAGCTCTCACTTTTAAAGGGATGGCTGCTAGATGTTAGAGTCCCAAAGAGAACAACTGTACACGAGAAGAAAGGCTTAATCAGCTGATGAGTCGCACTTAGGATCAAACAAGCGTCGTGGGTTTAACAGATAGCCAACATCTATTCTGAATGCCAAACATGTTACCGTTTTCGAGTTTAATGACACACTGCCTTTAGTATGACATGCCATTGTTCATAAACCGATAATACAGACTGGAGATTTTGTTTCAGAACTCTTTATAGTATATAAACCGTGGTTCAACTTTGAAGATTTGAGTTTTCTAAGTTTTTCCTTTTATCTGCACTTTCTTCTGTTGTAATTTTATTATCAGGAAATTAATTTTCACATCAGGGATTACAAAAGATAATCATGAACACAATCCCTCACTATACTAATGGCATTATAACCAGCGGTAATGAAAAGAATGAACATTTCATTCGTGCATTTCAATGCTTTTTTGAATTGTTTTCCAACCCTAATCTGAACTATCAAAGTAAATTCATAAATGCTGTAAAGTATGCGAATATACCACAAAGTGAAACATTCTCAAATGTTCTAAGTGGATATAAACTGTGCAGTTCTGCTGATGATATTAATAGTTCTGCTGCAATGATCGATATTGTGACAAGTACTTATGACAAGATAAGAACCAGTACCAATGATTACATCAATCATAACAACTACAATTCTAATGAAAATCTACACCAGTCATCGAATTCATTTCTGTCAGGATTGCATAAAACATCGAGAGGTCAACTTACTGCACATCTAATGGAAAAGACTACCAACGCACATGTGTGTAACACTAAATACCGGAAATTTAACGAACCTTTAACAAAAATGTCCTATGACAATTTAAAAGTCGAAGAAAATTTGCACGAAAATCCCTTGGACTTGAGTATGTCATCTAATCTTAATATTTCACCTACGAAACCCATCATCACTGAAGCACATAATAGTATGGAGATGATTGATAAAAACCAAAAGTTATCATTATTCCAATTAGACTGTGAATACATCTATGGTAATGAATGCAGATCTGCTAGGACAATGCAGTTATCAAACAACTGTATGACAAAAAGAAACGATCACTAAAGCGGATCCTCAATAGAAGCAGTGATACTACAATAAACGACAAAGATGACTATCCCAACTTTCTTATGAAATCGAATGCACGCTGTAATAATAAACAACCACGTCTGTCATCAAATTCATCCTCACTGCTATCATCAGTTAATCGTGTGGACTGCAGTCCACCAGGAAAACAACCTGTAACTAGATGTAATCATTGTCATGTTTTATTCCCATCATTATATGAACTGAATAATCATTTTCTGACAGAGCATAACGTTATACTTCAAGCTGAAATGGAGCACACAAAATCATGGAAATCACATACAATAGATGACGCATGCTTACAAGTGAGCTTCATTAGTATACATATGCTGCGTATTCAGTCTCAGGGAGGTTAACTGCTAGAAATTTTATTGTAGTTAATTGGGAAGTTTCAGAATAGCCATGAGATGTCTGAAGATGATTCCTCGCAGACAATCTGGAGATCATTTATTAGTTCACTTACCTGAGCTAGTATTTCTCGGTATGTAGCAACAGTAGTCTCAGCTGCCTAAAGGTCAGCCGTTTGAGATTTTTACTGTCATGGTTTCATCAAGCAGTGGTTATCGTATTTAATGTGTCCGTAATCCAAAATAATTTATGTTGTAGTACAACTGGGGTTTATTTAATTGATACTGAATAGTGAATGAGGGCGAAATGGGAGTCTGTCCAAGGAGCGATACGGACCAGTGACCACCGAGTTTATCTGACTGTCCGTTATGAGTATTACTGCGTTTTACTTTGTCCATGTTTTCAAGATAAGTATATGAATTAGGTACATTTACTTTTAACTTAAATCAAAACCAGAAAGAGGAGCTTTTCAGTGGTTTCTTGCTTTTCACCGTTAGTACACTGATATCCATATATGGCAAATAACATCGTTAAGTATCCCTGTAGTAATTTTATCTTTAGTTAGGTAATTTAACCTCAGTATAAACTATACAAAGAATATTGTTGTTCACCTGAAATACCGATCAGTTATGGTGATGTGGTGCATTTTATTTGATGAAAGACTTGCTGAGCTTATTTTGTACTGTAAGGCGAAGATACAAGTTATATTTGTATACATCTGGACGTATTTGAAATAAATAACTCTCCGTAGAAGCTCGGATCAGAACTCCGTGTGAAACGTTGAGAGTGTTGATTTGAAAAACTCTAAGACTTACATAGATATAATTATACCCACTGTCAACTTTTGATTCGGCGCCCAATACTACCTATGAAATTATCCGGTCAAATCTTGGCCAAGTTTCATATTATTTAAGCGGAGATATTGTCACTGACAGTCTAGTTATAAATCAGAATCTGATATTCTTTTGGGTGATGAAATAGTCCGTTTTTTTTTACAAGTAAGCTATTAAAATTTGTCAATCGGTAAAAATCCTTAGATACAAACAGGTTTCAAGAAGGAAGAACTTCTAGTGTTTTCCTTTCAGTTGCTTTCGTCAAACAAAACATAGGCACTGACTGAGTAATATGAAACATCTATTGTTTAGTGAAATGAACATATTTATAGGCTATAATAACCAAAGAGAACTACTGGAAGTAGCTTATGAATGGGTTACACTTCAAACCCTCACTAATATCACCTAAATCGATGGAGATATGAGAAAAAGGAGACAGTTTGCAAATTCCTTTAGGATCACGCATAATGATCTTCAGTAACAATACTACCCTGAAGTTAAACAAACTGTTTGTAGCTGACCTAATCCCTACTTGATTAAATGTGACTGGGAGGTATATTTTAATAGGCATCACCTAATCAAATACTTTTGTCTAAAATCTAGTGAAATTCCGATAAAAGACCACTTTTAACAAATAAAATATGGCTCGGAAGAACCCAGAAGTAATTCTTTTATAGGTACGAAGAAATTTCTCGAAGCTTCAGAAGAAAAAAGAAGATCGATCCTACAAAAAAATCGAAGCTATAACCTTAAAATTCGAACTGTTGTGAGTTTCAACCATTGACTGAAACATGTAGGTCAACGGGCTATAAAATATTCTGTTTTACTGGTTGGACTATCTTGGGCCGGATTATCTGTCTAACTGGCTAATGTAAGGATAAAAAAACGATTGACCGTGAGAGGTAATCTAAATCATGATGGGACTTACATTGACAGTCTCTATTACCATTCATTCAGTAGCTAAATTTCTTATTTCGGTCTGTAGTTTATAAAACCAGCAGTTTTCAGTTCAACACTTTTAGTCCTCCCTGGATCTAAGTCATTTCAGCTTGAAGTATGAAATGTGTACTTATCATTTGTAAACCTTCTAAAACGCAAAATTCATGAATGCAGAGAAAGGAAAACTCACAGTAAAAAGCAGTTTCCCAGTAAACTCACTTTTAGGAAATCCTATGGACTTCAGAACGCGAGACCATAGTAAATGGGAATTTCAAAAACTGTTATATTTTGATTACTATTTAAGCAACAGTAATAAGTAAGTGAGTGGACAAAGTAGTTTTCCGTTAGTGGTTAGGCACATACTCATTTAAATTGAAAAAGCACTTTAGCAATAAGTTGAATAGTGTCACTTCAACAAGTGGACTGAGAATATGAGTGAAAATGGGTGCGAAAATGAAAACTTTAGGAAAAGACAGAAAGCGAAAGGGGTTAATAGCAAAGTAGTAAAACATTCTTTTATCTTTAATTAAAAGGGGCTTACACGTCTTGAAAATCGAATAACTGAAGATTATACTGTGCACTCAAAGGTAGTTTATTTTAATATGTGCTTTCGTCAATTTTTAACAGTCAAGCGGCAGGAATTTATGTTATAGTTAGGCTCCGTGCTTGTTGGTGTTCGTGAACGCGGAACATCTGCAGTCATGAGGAATCTCATGTTGCATCAGTGCTCCAAGCTTGTGTCATCTTCCGCTGAAGGCAGGAAACTCACCGCTGACACCTGCAAGACTGGATAATCTACACGAGTAAGTTACTGATGATTGGTAACTTAGGTTCAAGACTTCCTGCTGACTGACCCTCAGTATCTAACATCTAAATGCGGTACATCACTGTGTCAAGTCATCTAGCTTGGTGAACATACCACAAATCTGGTGGCTAGACTTCAATCCGTGCTGAACACCAGAGACTATACAGCCATATTTGTTACCCGCCCATGACCAATTTGCGTGAATTTTCCCTATCTAAGGTTTAAATTGAGTGCTGGAATTTCAAACCATTTATGACCCACAAAATAAATTTATTCCCTTTTCTTGATTTCTAGAATATGAAGGTAATACTCAGTCATCCAAACAATATGAACACTTCTGGTTATCCTTGCCCAAACTGTGATTATGTGGCTAAGTGGCCAACTGAACTTCAAAAACATATAATGGTTCATTCAAAACAACGTCCACATCGTTGTATTATCTGCGGGTTATCATATAAATGGAAATGGGATCTTGGTAGACATTTTGACAAAAGTCACAACAGAACTATGAACCCTTATAAGAAGAATGTATTCAGTAATTCACTAAATCAAGAAAACCGACAAAAGGTTGTGAGATCTCAGAAGTCATCAATTCGTAAACATGCAGAGATAAAACAAAGTCTTCAGTTAGCTCCTTCAATGGTTGACTACATTCCATTCTCAATATCTCCAACAAATATTGATCTTAATCAGCGGGGTGAAATTTGTAATTCACTAAAACATGATATTTCAATGAAATCAGTGAATCGACCAGGATATAATCATATGCAGTCAGTTTGATTGCTCAGACAATTGTACCTTTTTCAGTTATAATATTACTGATACATTTATCATCCTAGAACACTTATTTGAGCAAAGAAGTCCATTAGATTAACAAAAGACTTTTGAAGAAAAAAGATGACGTCATTACAGTGTTGCTTAATAGCTAAAATATTCCACATATTATTGCCAAACATCAAGAAACAAAGGTGACAAATGTTCAAAATATCAACATTAGTAGATAAGAAGCATCTTTTTGCCTCATTTTCAACTGAGCAGTTAATTTTAAAAGAGCTACAGACACTTTTGAACATTGTTATTCTTTCAACATACCATACTAACCTCTTCTTTTTGGAGATTCGTTGAAGCATAATTTTACTTCCTGAACGCCATAAGATGGCAGGGCAAGTCTTTTTTCACCTTCACTAAGTGTATGTAGCCTACTAATATCTGATCGGGCTTGAAATGAAGCTAGTTCAAACAGAATTTTTCCAACCAGTTGTCTTGTTGTCGACACCTTTCATAACACACGCTTATCTACGTTTTAAGACACAGTATTTTCATATGGACAAAATTAGAAATTCCCAATAAGTATATTTCTCTTTCTATTCATGTGATCAGCTGGAAAGCAATCATTTTTATTTTGACTTTTCTCTTTAGCAATATTCTTCATACTACTTATAAGTAAATATCAGTTTGTGCCGAGTTGATAAGATCATAGTAAAACACATTTTTTCGTGTTGAAAATTTCTTTTGGTTAGTAGCCATAATCATTGCTGTAACCCTTATTAGTTTACAGTGGAACAGTATCATGAGAAATATATACGAATTCATCATAACTTTCATATATCTTGTTTCCTTACTTGAAACCTGTATGAAAAACAGTCGGTGAGAAGACAGTTTAAAATATGACTTTATTCTTGCTTCTTTGTATTTAAATAAATTGGTCGTTTAGAAGGAACGCGTTCTGTTATGTGTCTCTCAAATTATCCCTATCCTAAGCACAGAATCTGAGTAGTGCCTTAGAGTGTGCAAAATGAGCGACAGAATTCTGTCAACACTTTGGACTAGACAAAGTGAAGTTGGTTACGCTTCAGTGACCTATCATTGTATGTAACCTAGTCCTACAGGAGGTCAATTAAGACCCAAATAGATCAATGGTAACGTCTCTGACTGCGGCAATGAGTGAAGTGAGTTTGAATCTCAGGCGGGACATTAGTTCCGCAAAGGTTACCGATACAACTTGCTGACGTGCACCACAACAAGTACGAAACCTAGGTCCAAGGCTTCCTGCCGATTGCCTTTATTCACCTAACATGTGTTACAGTGAGATTCCATATTAGGTTTGTTTACGTGACATAGCTCATAGTGCTACAGTATTATTTACTGGCAAATTTACTAGTAAATAACACTGCATCACTGTGATCTATTTCAAACCGATTAATCTAATATGGAACTATGCCTTTCTTGTTGATGCTATGAAATAACGTTTGTAAGATAGTCGCAGAAAGAAGTTTATATGACCACTACAGTCTATTATTTAATGGCGAAATGTTTTCAGTTTAGAGATAAGAAACTGAATTTTACTTCCCTTCAAGACTGACAGTATTTGAAAAATTCCCAGTAATCACATTATAATACACAGATTGTACCGAGATTTCAGGTGGTTGTTCACCAAAAAAATTATATCTTCAGGCAATCCACTGCACTAATTTTCCTCTGTGTTGAAAAACTCTCATTCCTGGTAACAGTGATGTGCTTTGAAAATTCACTTTACAATAGAAGGCAGCATAATGATAATATTAAAAAATCGGATTAACTTGATTATTCCAAACAGAAGTAGGGAAATGTGAACCACTGGAAGTCAACTCAGTAGCTCAGGGGTTGCGTTTTTGTCACGGAAATCTACAGGTCGTAGGTTCAATCCCTGGAAGGGTCACGGGTGCGCACTGCTAAGGGGTCACATGCTAGGAAGAAATAACTATTCAGAGCTCCCAAGTTTCCAATGATCTGCAACTGATTTTTGTCTGTGATGATTACCAATCTGAAATCAATAAATTAACGCCCACAAGCCTCTAGACTGAAGGATTTTCAAAATCAAGTAACTGCAATGAAAACAGTGATACTCATGTGTGAGTAATTGATGGCGTCCGTTGCTTAAAAACCTCACAAAAAGACGAAACAATTATTTTGCATGTTGAGATTGTTTCTAATTGTTAAAACATTGTGTAGGTGAATGACAGATTTAGCTTACTCACAGGTTGAGACTGTATGATGACTTTTTCTGACACATTATTGTTGAAGTGAACGCCTTAAATGAGTTGAAACGACTGATGGCCATAAAGAGGAGAAATGAACCAGCGCTTCTTACCAAAATAATATACCTTCATTGCAAAAACTTATCTGCGGCATATTCGGTCAATGACACTAACATATGACTTTGAATAAGTTATCTAAACCACCGTTGCGTAGGTTATATTAAACGCTGTTGTTTACTTACACTACCTTAATAGTTCCCTTAGACCAATGTTCTATTTCAGTAATATGAAACTTAGCAAATAATTCGAAATATTAGTTCCAGTAGGTAATCATTATTTCGATAAAGGTGGTCAGCCTGCTCATTCTTGAGGCCAAAGACATTCGTTTGAGTAAAACTGTTTGATGCGAATAACTTTCTTACATTTAATTTGTATTCATAAATGAAATTCTTGTTAGATGCTTACTTATAGGCCACTTATATTGTGTATATCATTGAGGGACTCAATTCACTAGTGTAGTATGTTAAATAATCTACAACTTTCCACCTTTTAATGCAAAAGTAGATGGGTTGTGAAACCCCAGCGTTCCTTGAAAGCAGGATTTCTAATCACGTTTAACACTTAGGTAGAGAGGAACAAATCGACGCAACCTGAAACTTTTTGCAAAATCATCGGGGGAGATTGCAAAACTCTGGGTTTGAATTTCATACAGATGCAGTGAAAATTTATGGCTTGAATGGTAATTTCGCTAAAAATGGGCTATCGACAGTATCCTGATCTCATTTCCTCACAGCAACCTAGGTTTTGTAATATTTAATCTCAAGGGATACTGGTAATAATTACTTAGGCTATGTAGAGCTTCTGGTTTACATAATTGCACATCTTTTGCAATGAATTTCAAATAATGAATAGGAACTGGTAAGAAGGTTATGCAATATCATCTCCATAAGAAAAATTGTTTCACACAAATTCACACGACAAATTTCTCGCCATTTTTGAAGTGTGTCATGTTTCCGGTTACTATATTGCATATGTTTAATCGATCTGCTGCAGCTCCACGATTACACATATTGCAGCATGCTAGATTGCTATTTTTGAGAGTCAGTTGTATCAGAATGTGAAGTAGTTTCAAAATTAAGTATATGTATAATGCTTCTGTAATTCTGAAACCAACAATTCCCGTCTCAGTTTACTTCAGAGAAATATTCGGTTATAAATTTTGCATACCGAATTTCATCTATTGCACTTTGAAGACGTTATTGTGAGAGTTTAAAGTTAAAATTGAGAAAATTCACTTGTTTGATTTATAGAATGTTGAAATCATCTTTAATGTACTTCAAGGGGAACTACATTTCATTGTTGCATCGATACTGCTTCACATTATCTGTTTACGTTTTTTATTTATCAAAGCAATCCTTATATTTCCATTTTGCTACAGAAGATGGCATTCAAGTGAGGAAATTTTGGTTTCCGAAAAACTTAACGAAATTTAGTACCTCAGTTATGACTAGTGGGACAGTTTAATGTGGTCAAAAAGATTTTTCTTTCCTCTCTTTATATGGTACTTTAAGTGTAAAATCTTTCATCACAGATGGACATTAGTTAGGGAACCACTGAAAACCTGGGAGTAGTGACCAAGTGTTTTGCTCTAGTTCATGACTCTTCAGCAGTACTAATCCAATACTCTGCTAACGACCAAACCTATGCCAATCAGGTTTCGCGGCGACTAACTCACCATTTAGCCATTGGAATAGCATTCACTGATGTGATGAAAATGCTTTGAAATCAACAAACCCTAGAAAAAATCAGTTGGATTAGTACCCATTGTTCATTCGTAAAATTCTCCGACATAGATTTCTTGAATTCCTAGTGAGAAGTCATGATGTGTGAGGTCAACCATACTGAAGGTCTGTGAGGATAAATACTCGCCGAAGGCACTAGATGATGGTGGCGCCAGATCTTGAATTAGCAGGAGTAGTAAACGTCATCTGGATTTACCTGCAGCCCAGTGAGAAATGTTGTTCCGCTAAGACTCGAACCCCGAACCAATCGCTTCAGACGCCAGAGCGTTATCTATTAGGTAATCGAGTCATGATACCCACTTCTTATGGGACGGATATAGTATCTGCATTGTTGCCTGTATCACCCCGTCGTTGAGTTGATCGAATTGTTGATTCCCTATCAGCATGTGGGCTGCTGTACGGGTGCCTCGAACTTGTCTCTCATTTCTGGATTCCACTGCTAGCCACTATTTAGGATTGTTGTCAAAACTGAAAACACAGGCAAAATCGAGGCATCCACACAGAATGCCATATACCAATAGAGACTGATCAATTCGGTTCAGTCAACGACGGGGTAATGCAGGCAACAAGATCAATATTTGAAGTTTAATTTCTTTCAGTCGGGAATTTTTTCATGACAGACTAAGTGATGTTGGCGTGATGACATTATGTCTTACTTTTTTATATGCATGAATCTTTCTTTCATCATATTTAACCTTTTAAGATAGAAACATATATGATGCACTTCGCCATCAAAACTAAAGGTTTTCCCTACTTCCTTATGAATTCAAATAGATTGGGATTGGGATGAGAAGGCCTGACTGGGTAGTCAGTATGAGTAAGTTCAAGCGATATTATTTATTATTATTATTATTATTATTTGTCACTTGGGTTCCTAATGGAACATAAGGATTCACTAGCACGTCTCCATTACACTCTCTTCTCTCCAATCTTTCAACCTGGCTCCACCACTGCCCACAAC